AACAGAACTTGAATTCGTTCAGAGATTTCAATCGATTCAGTGATGGCTTCCGGGACACCGATGACTACACGCAGACGGCGTGGCGGAGGAGGACGCGGAAGAAGAACCTCTTCACCGAAGACGTGAAGCCGAAGAGGAAGTATACATACGAGGATCCGCTCCATTACGACCCCAAAGAGTTCTTCACGGATGCGTTCAACGATAGGGCGCAGAAGGAGTACTCGGATTATGTGGACAAACATCACGAACAGATGAGGGAGGAGTTGGATCAGGCGTTCAGCGAAGGCAGGTCTAAGATAGTGTTGTCGGCCATCATCGGTGTCGTCCTTTTAGCCATTTGTGTCTTGGATGAGATGATCCATTCGGATCTCACTGCACCACCGCTTAAAGCGAGGGACAGTTCTCTGCGTACATTGAATGCCAGTGCGAGTGATAATGAAACCAATAAATGATAAGTAGTTATGAATTAAATTTAATAATTGTTATACAAATTGTTGGCCTGTTATGAGATTTTAGTGATTTTTAATGACAAATGTGTACAAAGTTTTTGTTGATTAAATCATTGCTATATTTATTAAAACCTTGTTTTGTACACTAATATACCGTAAGAAGACAAACGAGACGTTCATCAGAATTAAGTGAATTCTGGTTTGCATTGAGTTCACAGAATTTTCTGTGCATTCAATTGAATTAACAGCTGTTTTGTGGGTATTTATGGCATAAATTGAACACATTTTTAAGTTTACGAAACATTTATTTAGAAAATAAGATAAAATAATAATACAAATTAGAAATACAACACCGGCCTACCCCTACCACCCTTCCACTGTAAGCCTCCCTTTCCTATACTTACCTATACATACCAGTCCACCATCGGTTCCAATGAGACCTCAAACGGGGAACTCTGAGCTCTGCCTACCCGTCTACCCAACGATTCCAAGGCTTGTCTGGTATTCCATGTCTACCACCGCTTAACCCAATGGTCTGTTTGGTGCCAAACATGTAAACCTATTCGTGGGGGCAATAGTATCGGTTCGGCCGCTGACAAGGACTAAGACCGGGACCACAGAGCGAGGTATAGGTCCCGGAACTGGACGTCTTTACGTACCCATAGGTCGGGCCTATGAGTGCCATATCTTAGAGTCAGACTTATACTCAATTCACCGATACTTAGGGTTTGGTTAGTATTTTGTGTTCATTTCATACCTATCCGTGCAGTGAGTGTCGTCTCCCAAGAACTGGATGTCATTCCCGATGTAATTGTGTTTCACTTTCACTCCAACTTTGCTTTCATATCATTTGAAAAACTTTTTAAAAGTTTTTTATTTGAAAAAATAAAGTCAAAAGTTTTTAAAGTTTTAAATGTTGACAAAATTATAATTGTTTTCTATATAACTCGTGATATTTGATCTAATATCCCATCAAATACTTGTAGAGATTATCTCAATATTTCAAACTTAATCCATAGATTAGATTATTATCTCAAATGAAATGCTAAGTTTATCACCAGTTATGGTCAGTTCACTATTCAAAACTTGTTTTGACCTCAAAAAGGAATTACAACTAATTATTTTAACTAAAATACTTCACACTAAACACCTTAATTAAATGAACCTGATTATAATTGTCATTAACTTAATTACAAATTAAATACTAAAACCAAATTCACACCAAAAATCTAAAACTACCGTAATTTCCAATTCATGCCAACATTCAAACCCCAATTTGTGGTCGTAATTGATGTCTAAACGATAGCATCGATTGCGCCAAAAAGTATCGCCGCTTTTGAGTGAATCGTTAGACTGTTTTCAAACATTCAGTCATTCATTGCATTCACAGTCAGTGTTGTGTTCATTGAAAGACTCATTAAAAGGCATTTTAAACGCATTGACAACACATTCAAAGACCATAACCACCGAAGACTTTGTCATCAAATCAAACCATTTGATCACCAAATGGGACGACAACGCAAAGACAGTGGCGGTGATGAGGAGCCCACCGAAGACTATCAGGTGGAGAAAGTGGTGGACAAACGCAACGTGAAGGGTAAGATCCAGTACCTCCTGAAGTGGAAGGGCTATCCGGATGAGGAGAACACATGGGAGCCGAAGGAGAACCTGGACTGCGATGACCTGATCGAGATCTTTGAGGAGAAGCGCCGCAAAGACAAGGCGGGCGGTGCGAGCAGTAGTGCCACTCCGGAGCCGACCGCCAGTTCCCGTCGCAGGACCGCCTCCAAGGATGAAACGCCGGTTGTTGCGGACAAGCGGTCGCGTCGCGCGACTCCCGGACGGCCCGCGAAGGATAAGTCCCTCGAAGAGGACTTCGACGACGCCATGAAGAAGCCGAGGGGCGGCTTCGAGAGGGGTCTCCGTCCCGATCGCATACTCGGCGCCACCGACGCCTCCGGGGAACTCATGTTTCTCATGAAGTGGTTGGACTCGGATGAGGCGGATTTGGTGCCCGCGAAGATGGCTAATGTGAAGTGCCCGCAGGTATGACACCATCCATGCGTTGCCATAAAGATGACATCACTGTTTAATTGGTAATGTCTTTGTGTGTCTATGTCTGTGTCCACACAGATCGTCATCAAGTTCTATGAGGACCGCCTCACGTGGCACTCAAACGCCGAAGAGCTGAACGCCGCGGCAAAGGCTGACTGATGGATGATATTGGGGTCCAAAGTCATGGATTTGATTCCATACACCTCTTTGTTTTTGTCTTAATCTCACGATTTTTATTTAATTATTAAAAAGTTTTGTCCTTTTTATGAACCAATGATTATCTGTCGATTACTCCAACCATTATCTCTCATCTCAATGTGTCCTCAAAACTATCAATCATTATAACTGACACTCCGTTTGATTGGATTTGTATTTAAATCAGACTTTAATTGAATAATAAGTCTGTAATGCATTCGCATGTCTTATAATTTATATAATAGCATATCATATGAATGGATAATTATTTCTAATTTGATTTTGTTTTCCATGTGTAAAGTAAATGATTTATATTTTAATTGCAAACTAAATAAAAAATCCATTAATATGTAGTAACCATTGATGCAATCCGTGGGATACCTGGGATACAAGGCATTGTCTAACGCTGGGAACAGATGTCACCTCCAGGTGTGGGAACAGTGTTTGCAAAGCCATTCAACCAATGGTTACGTCATTTGCAGACAAATCACTGGATATTTTAGATTTGATAACAATTTACCAATCGTTTGGCTAACGACTTGTCATTTGATTAATTTCGCACAACTTTATGTCAATTTACAAATCATTTGCAAACTATTTATAACACTATGTCTGGCCATTCACTGCATCCATACACCGCGAACTGTAACCACCATTCACTGCACTATTGATTGGGTTTGTATTTTGCGTCATTTAACTGTCACTTCAGCTAATCTATGGTCTGTTCACTCCATATGTTTGTCCAGGTCTTCGGCACAAATTATGGCCAATTAGTTGGCGGTTAGCCCTACGGACGGCTCCCCCACAGGGAGTCGTCGTCTCATATCTTTCCGTTAATTTAATCGTTATTTTCAAAGTTTTTTGCCGTTTGAAGAGTTTTTTTAATTGCCATTTAATCTGAAGTACAAATGAGTGGTAAATCAGTTGATGTCATGTCTGGCGCACATCAGCCCGAGTGCACCGTTTGGTGCAAAAGTCTTGAACACGCGATGCAAATGATGTCCGCAATCACTGGTCGCCCGCCATCTGATCGACTGCAGGCTTACTGTCGCTCTCTTTGCCACAACTTCCCGCTGATTGCGGACACAATGGGTCGCAACGCCCTC